CCCCAGATACTCGTAACCTACCGCATGGCTGCATGTTGCCCCTTTCTGCTCTATGTCCCTCCCCTCTCAGGCGACGCTGGGCCAGGGCCACATGGTCAGTTCCACATGGCAAATCTGTGGCCAAAGATCACAGAGGTTTGACTTAGGTTCCGAGAATCTACCCCACAGGGCACTGGCTGGACAGTGGCTGGGGGTGGAAAAGGGGGCATGGTCATGAGCTGGCCTATTTGCCAGAGGAAGGTAGGGCAGTGGGTAGGGCAGTGACGGGAGCATAAATGCCAAGACATTCTTCCCTCTTCTCTGGGGAGCCAGCCAGCATTTGACTCCACCAGGCTGCAGGCTGAACTCTACCGCTCAAGAGGGTGGGGGTAGGACATTTGGGGGTGTACCCCGAGAGATAGAACAGAAGGAGCTGAGGTTCCTCTACGGTGACCTAGGAGCCTAACCTCAAGGGATGGCATCTCCCTTCCTGGGGGGAGGGGGAAGTGGTGTCATCCGTCATCATGCCCTTTGTGTAATCTTGTCAGCTCACCGTGACGTTTGCCCAGTCACCTTCTCTGTCTTTCCACTACTTTAGGTGCTCACATCCTCACTCAGATCAGCTTCCTGTTGATAAGAGGGGGAGACTCTGCTGGTGCAGACCAGAGTCTCTGAGGGGGGGCGTCTGGAGGCCAGCACCTACTCCATCTGTGCCCACACAAGACAGGCTGTCAATATGGAGAGCAAATAAAATATGGCCTCTGTTCTAGATGTTTCTACAATGTCTCCCCAGGAGCCCTCGGTCAACGTCTGTGCTCCAAGAGTTAGAGCAAGGGCTTAAAGAGACATTTTAAGATACTGGGTCTTGATTAGTTTTGGTAAACATGAGGTTCAGAGTCTGGTGGACTCTGGTCAAGGGTTCCTAATGGCGGAGTCAGGGATTTAGGGAATTTTATGCTTTAAGTGACAGCTAGGAATCTGAGTGCCAGAGCAAATTGGTCTGAGTTCAAATGACCCGCTTACTAGTTGGGACCAAGTTGTTGAAAATGTGCCTCATTTTCTTCATCTGTAGAGGAAGAGTAATTATAAATGTCTACCCCTACAGAGATGTAGCGGGTATTAAATGAGTTAATATATGCAAAGGGCTTAGCACAGTGCCTGGCATGTGACAAGCACTTGGGAAATGTGAGGTACAGTTAATTTAGACTGACTGCCTGATTTTCCTCAGGCCTCAGGCCCCGGTCAAATACACAGCTGTCTGTTGGGGAGGTGAGAGTGAAGGCATAGAGAGAGGGGTACGGAACAGTCACCCATGACAGCCAGTGCAGACTCCTCTGCCTACTGCCAGCCTTTGCCCAAGGCTGGTTGCTGTCTGCTCAGTAACTTCACAGACCCACTTTCTCCCTTTGGTTCTCAGAGAGGCCACAGAAGAGTGATTGGCTGTCTGGGCACTTGAGCAGTTGCGCTGGAGTGGAGGGCCACGCCAGCCTGAGTCACGTGCCCAATCCCAGGGCCACTCCTGGAGTCCGCCCTGTTCAACAGACAAGGACTCAGCCATGACTCACTGTATTCGAGTGATGCCTGAGCCTTAGTCACCTGGCGCTCCTTCTTCCAACACCTGAGTATTAGCATTTACAACCTGGGACAGGCTCTCTTATCCCTCTTAACCTCTTTTCTCTTTTCCTTCCTGCTTTCCTCCTTTCCTTGCTCCTTATCTTTTGACTGCTTATTGTTGAGATCTCGACTGATCTCCCTGGCAATTTGGACAGTTTAAGTCTGGCAGGTGGAGACCCTGCCAGGAACGACCGACTGGTAAGCAGACACGGTGACAACTTCGGAAGCAGACCCACCCCCACAGCTGACGGATGCATGAATTACTACTGTTAGCCATCCACTGTGGTGGCGGGAAGTCTGGACTCTGCCCTCTGGGAGTGGGAGCACACCTGTAAGGGCACGGAGACTTGTTAAGCCATATCGACCATTTTCAACCTTTATCATTTCATGGCACACCTAGACCGATCACTACTATTCTGCAGCTCACCAAAAAATATATTTTTTACTGATCTGACCAAAACATATGTATAATTTTGATTCATTCACACCAGATGGCTGTTGGCTGTGTTGGCTGTTGTCACTTTTTTATTTGACTACCTGTGGGAAAAGAGGTCAGTGCCCCTGACCAAAGTCAGGTATTGCATGCTTTAAAAATTCTTGCAGCACACAGGTTGAAAATTGCTGACTTACATCAATGATTTACCTCTCTGTGCGAATCCATTCATTCCACACCTACTGTGTCCCAGGCACCGTTTCTAGGTGGTTGCAAAATAGTAGAGGACAAAAATCTGTGCCTTCTTGGACATCACATTCTGGTGGAGGGAGGCAGAAAGTACATATGATGAATAGGTGTGTGATATAGTTAGTTAGAAGGAGGTAAGTGTTGTAAACTCCCCCCCAAACCAGCCTGCCCCAAACAAATCCCCAAATCCCAGCCTGTCAGTAATGGAGGGTGGGTGGGGTTGGGAGAGCTGGGGTGGGGGACAAGGAGCTTGGTTGTCATGTTATTATTTTTTAGTTTTTCAATTACAGTTCACTTTTAATATTATGTTAGTTTCAGGTGCATAGCACAGTGGTTAGACATTTCTGTAACTTACAATAAATCTCGTACCTCCCTGACTTGGTCGTCATTTTAAAGAGGGTGCTCAGAGTTGGCCTCGTGGAGGAGGTAGTATTTGAATGAAGACTTAAAAGAGGTAAGAGAGTGAGCCTTGCAGACACTGGAGAAAGAATAAAGACTGGTCCAGGCGGAGAGAGCAGCTGGGGCAATAGCCTGTGACAGAAGCAGCCTGGTAATTCAGAAGCACGGCCAGGAGGCTGCGTGGCTGGAGTGGAAGGAGTAAAGGGGATAGCAGTGGTCCTGTTGAGAAGTAATGACGGCTGGTATGTGTGCTGCCTCTGTAAGGGCTTTGGCTTTGACTTTGTCTGCAATAGGGAGCAGGTGCAGGTTTCTGAGTGGAAGAGGCCCTGACCTATTGTGTTGGGACTGGACTGCACACCAGTAGGGAGGCTACTGCAGAAGTCTGGGGAAGAGGCTCAGGCCAGGAGGGTAGAAGTGGTCTTGGTTGCCTTTGGAATGGCCTGGTAGGTTGACATGGTGGTGTGAGAATAGGGAGTCAAGGATGATTTGGTCAGCCTCTTTCCTGAGGGATAAGTTCAAATGAGCCAAGGATGGGAGATGAGCCCTGAGGACTGAGGGATCTGGAGCAGGACAGTGGAAGACAGGGAGGGAGGCTGCAGTCTTGGAGCCATGCCCTTGCCGCCCCTTCAGCCCTGGCTGGGTCCTATCCAGCCTCTAGCTCTATTTCGGGCTTCTTGTGTCTGAACGAATTGGGTTCTGAAGTTCAAAGCCTGTGCCTGGTGCCCTGCAGCCCTGGGGGCACTGGATTACAGGGGGAGTGCTCAGTGTCCGTAAGCAGTGAGGCTGACAGGGCTACTCTTGGGTTCTGCAGAAATAACGTCCTGGGCGTGGCAGGAGCACGTGGGGGGCCCAAACAGAGGAATTGCCATCTTCTTCCTGCAAAGCCAAGCCACTCCCTGGACTTGCCCCAGCCTGTGATGTCTGAGAGAGACGCCAAAGGCTTATTTACCTGGGCTCTTGCCTCCTGACGGGGGAGGAGGAGGGGGGCTTAAAGGTGAGGATCTGAGATTGCAACACCTGCTCTTCTGCTGAGTTAACTATTAATGAATTGTTTGTACGTCCTCTTTCCTGGTGGTGGGCCTAAGATGGGCAGCTCCAGAAGGGTGAAACACTCCTGGGAGCCTTGAGTTTAGGGAGTTGGAGAAGTGGAGAGGAAGAGATCAGACAGGTGTCTGCAGAACCCTGGGGTGTCAGCCGCGACTGTGCTCTGGGGAACTTGATGAAGGTCTCTGTGTTCTTGTTGCAGATTGTGGCCCACAAAGGGCAGCTGTTGGTACTGACTTGAGCTTGTTGAGTAAAGCTAGATTTCACTGGGATGCTTACAGGGGTCAAGACATGAACATTTGTTAGAATTTCCATCATGCATCTAAACAACTTGTTGTCCATTGGCTAGTTTAGATGGGCTAGTTCTCCAGCCCATCTAAATTTCTTGGGCTAAATTAGAGACTGAAGGTTAGAAATGTCCAGCTTAATCCATAAGATGCTTCATTATTTTCTCTGAGGGTCCCCAAACCAATTTCTTGGACTTAACCCTCCTATTGTAGAGAGGACTTCCTGCATAGGAGAGACTGACAGGCCAGAATGGCTGGTTAAGAGTCTCCTTTAAATAGGAACTTTGAGGCAATACAGTTCCCAAACAATGCCGGTGCAGGCCTCCTGGGGCCAAGGTATGCATTGGGTGGCCTTCAGATCTCTCTAAAGCCCTCTGACCTTAACCTGGGGGAAGAGTGTCCTCTGAGACCAGCCTCTCTAGCTGGACTGTTACTGTCATTTTCAGTGGCTCTCAGACCAGTGGCCCGGAGCCAGGAGCCTGCCTGGGGTCCCACAAAGGAAGCTGTGTTCCTGGGCCTGGCAGTGGGCCAGGCCATGTCGGCCCAGTTATGCTTCCGCCTTGCCTTCCACCACTTGTGGTCAGGTCTGTTTTCTGGCCCTCAAGGCGGGCATTCCTGCCCTGGAAGGGAGAGACTAAGAGATCAGCCCTCCTCCTAAGCTGGGGGCAATGACTCACAGGTAGTTACCTGTCCTAGGGCTTCCTGCCAAGCCAGGGAGGGACCTGGAGAAGAGGCATTTAGAGTTTATTTCTTATTTCGCTGAAAATTTCCTTGGGTGAGCTGGGCCTCGACCCCTCCCTGATGAGCCTTGTAAGGCTGCAGGAAGCAGGGATTTTCCACTGTGATTGTTTTCCTTGGGGAGAGAGAGGGTCTGGTACTTTCCAGGTCCTGGATGTTTGGGTCTTCCTGCCTTCCAGCCCGAGGACAGGTCCGGGGCTGTACCACCCTATACACAAGCCCTGATCTTCTTGTCCTCTGCTTGGTTTTCTGTCCAGATGGTCCAGGACACAAGAGGAAGCTGATCCCTTGAGAAAACACCGAGTACAGTGCCTTTCACAAATGCCAGGGCTCTTCCTGCTCTCCGAACCCTGGTCTGGAATGACCATGAATATTGGCCTGGTGCTTTCGGTTTGCAGTGTTCCCCTCTGCCCCCAACAGCACGCGAAGGCAGGTGGGCACTGCCAGGCTTGCTGTGAGGCCTCGGGGACCAGCCCACTTGCCCAGTCCTGTCCTGGGGCTGTGGGGGTGCAGTGACGGCGGATGGGCGTGCCAGCCGCCAGATTCCTGAGACCCGCCCTGCAGTGGGCTGCACCCAGCCAGGGAGTCTCCTCCAGAGGTGAGGCCGTTGTTTAAAAACTGGGAGCCAGGAGCGGAGACCCCCTCATTCAAGGGTGCTCTCAGGCGATCTGGAGAGAGAACAGTGGCAGCAGGGAGCCAGGTACGTTACCTGCCTTCACCTGCTTGGTGGGGGCAGGGCGGGGAGGAGGCACTGTGCTCTGGGTGTCTGGGACCTGCTTGCAGGGCCCAATTCTTTCTCTTCCTGAGAGCTCACCTGAAGGAGCCACCTGCAAATGCTACATTAAATGTCTGCCTCTGTTTGAATTGCCTTTTCACATCTGATAAGTGTCTCAGGGACTTGGAAGAAAGCAAGTTCAGATCCCTGGCTGAGCACAAAGAGAAGAGGGAAGGCTGGGGTGCGGGGCCAGAGCTCTGCCAAGGCTGCTCAGAATGCCTCCTTCTGGGGGTGAGAGGGCAGAGACAGTGCAGCAGGTAAACGAGAAGGTGGGCCTCTCTCTTGGGCCACCTGCCTCCTCTCTGGGACCCTGGCACTCCTGGAAACCGATTGGCAGGAATGATTTCAAAGCATCTGGGTGTATAATTTAAAGACTCCAGGAGAGTCCCGGTTCTCTCTCTGGCCCTGCCTTGCCAATCCCCACCCCCTACCCTAGCCAAAGGGGTTGTGGCTGTCACTGAAGCAGAGTGAGCACCCAGTCCGAGGCAGAGGTGAGCACTGCATGCACAGGGCCAGCCTGCTTGCCTCTCGGACCTTTGAGCATCCATCTATGGTCTCCTTCAGAACCCCTGCTTGTGGCCTCCCAGCCTCGCTCCTCCTGTACAGCCCAGCCCATCATTAGAGATATTCTGGTTGCTTCCAGTTCAGATACAATCCTCACTCATTTCTGAAAGACTGCCAGGCCTCCCCATCACATTCCAACCACCTGCTGTGCCCAGAGTTGTGGGCACCACAGTCTTACCCTTGAGGTGACCCTTGGTGGTGCTGGAGGCAATGCCAATGGCAGGAGAGGGCTGGCCTCCATTCCTTCAGCCACTTTGACCCACTCACCTTTGGATTTGTGGGCTGAGCCCGGCTCTGGGAAAGGCCGGGCCTCTTCCTTGGGCAGCGACGAGGCCTCAGACCTCCCTGCAGCTCCTATGGGCCCTGCACCCCAAGTAGTCCTTGTGACTATTAGGAGCAGGGCCAGCCCATCCTCCTCCCGTCTACTGCAGATGAGGGGACTGAAGTCTGGGAGTGAATGGTATTATCCCAGGGCACCCGTGAGTCACAGGCCAGCTGGGACAGTAGTCCAGGGCTATGTTATTTTCCAAGGTTTTGGCTCCAAATGTACCTGTTGCTGAGAGTTGTCCCAGGTAAGACCCTGGGTGAAGACTTCTGAAAAAAACAAAACAAAACAAAACAAAACATGATTCTAAAAGCAGAAAAGGGGCTAGTGTGCCCTAGTGGTTTGTGCTGTTTTACACAGGCTGCTTTGCTCTACCTCAGGCGAGGTCCTCTCTGGGGGTCATCCTATTGGCTGAAGATGAGGCGACTCCTTCTCCTTTGGTTTGGTGAGTATCCCTTCCCAACCTCCAGGACCTGCCATACAGGAGAGAGGTGAGAGCTACCGGTGGGAGGACAGTTAACCAAAGTGTGAGCGTTACCTGTTACCCTTGAGTCCTAGGGTTTGGAACGCTTGTCTCCTGGGGACACCCATGAAGTTTCCCTGCTCCTTTATGCCTTTGGGCAGGATGATTTTCTACCTGTCTTGAGGAGCTCCCAGGTGTCTTCCAGTTCCCCCTCAGAGTGGTTTCTGGTTCCCTGAGTGCCCTGGTCTTTCCCACCCTTTCACTCTCAAGCTGGTCCCAAACCCATCATGGCTTGAGTTCTTGATTTTCCAGTGAATTGTAGTGGTGTGCTCACAAAATGTGGGTCAGCGTTGCAGATAAAGGAGCAGAAAGAACGCAGGTATCTCCCAATGTTCCACAGTGGCTGGCAGCTAGCCCTCCTATGGGCTGTTGACAGAGGCCATGCTGTAGGGGAGGAGAGTTGTGGGCTGTGTCTGGTGGCCAAGCCTGTGTCCCACGTTTGTTTCTAAAAGCCATACATGGGAGCCACATTTCAGGATCATTCATGGATGGATGTTGGTTGCCAGTACTTTTCCTGTTTTGTTTTTTTTAAAGTTGGGGGTTATAGAATATGAAATCAGCTTTTCAACCTAATAGCCTCAGGATTACCATAATAACTGTCACCAGTAAGAGCGAGCAGGAGAGAAGGAGAGGCTCTAGTCTTGTCGATGTCTGTTTCCCTGAGGGAGGCGGGGGTGGCCATCCAGACCCCCTTCTCTTCCAGCTGAACCCCAGCCACCCTGTGATTTCAGTCTTTCCCAGCCTCCTGTGTGCCCAGCAAGCCTGCTCCCGTGGGGCCTGCTATCCCCCTGTTGGGGACCTGCTCATTGGGAGGACCCAGTTTCTTCGAGCTTCATCCACCTGCGGACTGACCAGGCCCGAGACCTACTGCACCCAGTATGGCGAGGTAGGCCCTAGCTCCATGACCTGCAGGGCTGGAGGAAGCTGAGCTGTGTGGGGTGGGTATGCCTGCCATTGTTCACTGAATACTTAGAGTGTATCTGGTAGAGGCCCAGCCCCATGCACTGTGGGTGGGGAGTGCAGGGAAAGTATAAGCATGGGCAAGAGCAAATGTACTCAGTCATAGCTGAATAGCTCTTTGTCTTTTCTGTTCCATAAAACCGGAGTCCTTTCTTAGCCGTTGGGATGGGCAGGACAGTCATTTAAGTCTTGGGGACAGGCAAATAGATAAATATTAAACCTTTGTACGTAGAGTCTGATGTGCCATCTTTGGTGCACACAGTCATGGCTGGAAGAGCACAAGTGCTGGGATGTGTGCATGGGTTGTGTCTTGCCAGGGGTGAGCTGAGTGCTGCCACAGTCACTCTGTCACTGTCATCTCTTTAGCACTGGGGTTTGGGTATGGACAGAGCTGGCAGGAGAGTGAATATATGATTATAGGCTGGAGTTTGCCTTTTATGCTTTGCAATTATCATGCATGAAGACCCAGCTTTCTTACCTCTCAGTCTCCTTCGCCCACATGTTTTACCACCTGGGGCAAAGTGGGGAACACTCGTGCTGTTGTTGAAGGACACAGATCAGTGAGATAAATGAGGAAGTGACCTGAGGTTAGCAAGGGGGTTCAGGGACTCAGTTGGTAAGGAAGAAAATGGGCTGAGTGCATCCAGGAATTCCACCACTTGGAGCTACTTCAGTTAACATTGGCAACTGATGTGTTCAAAGAGCAGTTGTGATTTTTCTTCTAGTTTTTCCTTTTTCTACACTGCCTCTGGAGCTTTTTTGTAGGAACTCTGGTTTTCTCTCTTTTCCATTCAACAAGGTTGGGGTCTTTCCTTGCTCCTCAAGTTCACCAAGGTTGAAATCAGTGGGGTTTTTTTGCTGTTGTTTGTTTCTCAGCTGCTCAACTCATTGGACCATTTTTTTGCCCTCAAAATACAGATTTGGATAAAGGAATGGATGAGGGTGTGGTTTTCCCTAAGTCTCTGCAGCCTTTGAGGAAAAAAAAATCTACTGAGCGAGCAAGGGAGAGAGGGAGATTGATGCCACGAAGGAGACTTGGGTTATCTGTGGTTTACTCTTTCCAGACTGTCCTTGTCCTCGGGACCACGGTAAGGCATCTGGTACTGCCGCTGGGCCTCGCTGTCCTTCTAGCCCCCAGTGTTCTTTCGGCAGCTTTTAATCACAGATGGTATCAGATTATGGCTTTGGAGGTGCTGAGCAGAGATGGCTGTGGTTTCTGCATCTTACCCACTTGGATATGGGAAAACTTGTTTGACAGTGTTGGGTGAAATGGCCACATCAGGCGAATTTTCCCCGGGGGCCCAGATTGCTCCACAAGCATCAGAGGACCTGGCAGTATGGAGCTTTCCAGGCAGGATGGTTTTAGCTGTCCCTTTCCACACACTCTCAAAATCTTATGCCTGTGAGCCATGTCTAAAAATTTCAGGGACACCTCTGACCCCCTTTCTTAGGCTGACCCGTCTTCTGGGAGAGGAAGCTAGGAAAGACCAGAGGCCCTTGTGCTGGGCCGTCCCCTCAGCCCCAGCCCCTGTCTAGACAGCGTCTTCCTCTGGGTTTGGGGTTTTGGACTTCACCCCAGTCTGCTCTCTGCCTTTATCTGATGCCCCAGGGAGCCTACTGCCTTCCCTGCTTGTGAGTTGCCCCTCGAGAGCAAAGCAGAGTGCTTGCAAAAGAGAAGTCTAAACAAATCTCAGCTATTTTGTTGCTATGCAAATTGAGAAGCACTGGCTCTTTTTTTCTTTCTCCATAAGGGGGAGTTGTATCTCTGGACCTTCTTGGAGAGGATAGAGGACAGGACATCTTGAGTGTAGGACGTAACCCCAGGTCTGTCACTCATTTGTGGTGTGATCAGATATCGCCCCTCTCTAAGTCCCAGAGAATTTCCTGTTCTCCGAGTGAGTGTTAGATGGAATGGTCTGTAGGGGTTACTCCTTGCTCTAACTTTCTTTGGGAGTGAGCTGACTTCTGAGGACTGGCTTCTCTCCCCCCTCCCACACCTCCCCATCTTGTCTGATTTCACTTTCCCTCTCCCTTACCTGCCTCATCTGGAGGCCATGGGTCACCAGCCGTGAGCACACTCACTAAAGGTGCAGATACTCCTGCCGATGGAGGACCCTGAACCCTCACTGGGTGCAGCTAGGGCTGGGTAATGAAAATTAGGAATCCAGATTTAACTGTGCTGAATTTATTTTATTATTATAGCTGCTATTAAATATTATAGCAGCTATAATTTATTAAGCACATATTATGCACCCTAAGAGTTTTATATAAATGATCTCAGTTAATTTTCACAATACTCTGTGAGTGGCTCTTGTTATCCCTGAGAGCTATTGGGAGGGTAGGTGCTGGGGCCCCAAACTTCTGATGGAAACACAGAGGCGTTGAGTTTTCTGAGCAGTTGGAGATGGGAAGGTGTACCGGCCAGCCCCACCTGGAAATGAGAGTGATGTGATACAAAGCTGCGTTGCTTGTGCCTCCCCCTCCTTCCTTCCACCCACCCTTTCTATCAGCCCCACCCCCATTTATACACCTTCCTTAAGGCAAACCTCTGGGTAGTGCCTCTGTTCTATTTTTGCACAGGGGTGATATGTCGAGCCTTGAGCTCAGGTCAAGATCACCCAGCACCTGCTGCTAGCCTACTGATGTGGCACGGGTGCAAGTACCATGGAGATTATGACCTTGGACATTCTGTAATTCTCACTCCCCACCCCCAGCATCAGGGAAACTCCTTTTCCAGTTCCAAAATTGTCTGTCCCAGCTCCCAATCTCAAATTGTGTCTCCTTTCTTTCTGGGCCATTTTAGCCTATTGATATGTCACCTACTCTGCCTAATTTTATCTCAGCAGTTAAACTTATTGGCCTTGAGGACTAGCTTTGGTGGGTTTGGGGTCCACACTGCAACCCTTCTAATGGACATAGAACTTGGCCAGCTTTGCCTTGTGGCACTCTTCCCCACCCCCTTCAAGGCCTTTCTACCCTGCCTAACCATCAGCTGTCTGGGCTTGCGCCCAGGCAGTTTATTACCTAAGCAGCCTGACGCCACAGTCCCCTCCTGTCCCCCTGTTCTTTTTCTTCCAGCTTCTACATAACCTCTGGGTAGCCTCACCGCATCGTTGTCCTCTGAAGCTCAAGTACAAGGGAACACGTCTGTGATGTGTCCCTGCCCTTGTTCTCTTCTATGCTTTCTTTGAGCCTCAGCACCTTGCTTGAAAAATGGGCATAATGATAGCACCCACTTCAATAAATTGTTGTGTGGACCATCTAAAACAGGAATCCCGCACCCCAGGCTGTGGACTGGTACTGGTTTTTGCCCTGTTAGGAACTGGGCCACACAGCAGGAGGTAAATAGCTGGTGAGCAATCAAAGCTCACTGGCATCACTGCCTGAACTATGCCTCCTGCCTGCTCCCCACCTTCTGTGGAAAAAATGTCGACCATGAAACCAGTCCCTGCTGCCAAAGAAGGTTGGGGACCTCTGGTCTAAAAGAAGGAGCCACATGACCACTGGCATGGTGTCTGGAAGATGCTAAATGTTTCATCTCCTTCCCCGCCCACCCCCGGGACCTGTGTCAGCATGCAGGGACCGCCCCATCTGTGAATCTCAGTCCTGAGCATCTCTTCCTGATCAGGACACACATTCACATACTTACTTAAACCAATGCACCCTTGGGCCATCCCACTTTCTGCCTCCAAGGTGACTGCCGCCAGCCTGATTGGCAGTGGGCTGGTAGAGAATATGGCGGCAGTCATGGTGAGTGAAGTCACCTAACTAGCTGCCCACTCTAGTTCTGGTCCTGGCTCTGACACTTAGACTAGGAATGTGACCTTACAAAGGCCTTGGCTTCTCTCTAGACCACCATTTGCCCTCTTATGAAATCAAAGAGTTGGGTTAGTTGCCCTTTATCTTTGTTCAGCTCTAATATCTCCGCCAGCTTTTTGGAGATGGCTGGGCTGTGTGTGGCCTTGAAGATCTGCCATGGTCTTTCTCAGGTGAGCACTGGTGGGGGCTGAGCCATGCCCTTTGGTCATCTCTGAGCTGGTGCACTCTCCCCGGGAACCAGCGGGCTTTACCCGGAAGCTTTCCAGCCCTGTTTCTGCTCCTGACAGTGTCTCCTCCAGTGTTGTGTCTGCTCCCCGAAATGCTTTACTTATCCCCCAACACCCTCCCTTGGTGGGGAAAAACTTAATTACCCAGCTGCTTTAATAACAGTCTTACACAGTGCATTCCTCAGGTTAATTAGCTGTGTAAACTAAACAGCTGTCATTTTTTATCCTTGGAAACAAGCTGAGGGGCAGTAGCCAGCTGACTTCCCCTCCTCCCTAACACACGTACTGAGACATTTGCACATGCATGTGAGTGCACCCATACCCATGTGCACACACCCCAGCAAGCACTGTCTTCCTTTAATGACTGTCTGTTTTCTTGACCTTTGACATGGCTAATGTGTAGGCAGAGGGCATGTCCGTGTAGGTCTTGAGATCCTCATCGTCCGTGCTCTCAGGGGGCTCTGAGACTGTCTCTGACCAAAATGTCTGCTACCCTGCTTCCCAGGAGGTCTCTGTGGGTCTGAAGCTCTCAAAGCTCTTACCACTGGCGAGTCACTCTTTTGGATGAAGCATTGTTCATTTCCTCACTTAAAATGCAAACACCAGTGGGAAAGGCAAGGTGTCAATCTATTATCAACCGTATAAACCTATTAGGTCTCAGCAAGGGTTTGCTCATGAGAAAATCAGCTGTGGCTTTTGCAAAGGGTCACAAGATAGTAAGACCCAGGACGAGTGAGTTTTGAGAGGATAGAAGAAAATGGAAAGGGTCATTGAGGAAGAGAGTCGCTACCAGAGGGAAGCAAAACTTGGGTTGGCGGCATGCGAGATTCCTGGGTCCCAGCTGTGGTGGGTTGAGGAGTGTGGTGTGTGGAGCTAAAAT